AAAAAATTTAGAAGAAAAGAACACGATGATCTTCGTCCTAAAGCAAGAGGTTCGGAGTAAAGCTCTTTGCCTCTTTTGATATTATTGTTCAATCAAGAACATAACACTATATTTGCCTTAGATTTACGGCGTCCATCACTCAAGAAGAATAGAATCTAGAAGGTGGAGATGAAGATGAAGAATCTTCAAAGTCACATACGATGAAAGGAAAGATATTTCAAAACCCTAGAAGGCAGATGAAGTAATGACCAATATGAGCAGCCAGATGAACATACACTTCATTCTAAAAAGTAATAAAAAATGTGCATCAAATGAAAGCCACCAGAACGTCATCACATCCAATGGTTAAAGGGGTGACACTTGACTGCATATCATGCTTCCTCTCAACTAATAAAAACGTGTTTCCAAAAGACGACTTAAATTGAATTGCAACTTTAAATATGAACTACGATTTTATCAAATTCAAATAGTCTACAATTCAAAATAGTTTACGATGCGTCATTTCAATTAGGAAAAGTCCAAAAAATGTGTAGACACAAAAAGTATAAGCCTTGTATGGATTTTCTAAAAATCAGAATTTCGATCGATTTTGATAAAAATTATGGATCCATAAGATGCATTTGACTTATATTTTTATCAATTTTTTTAGCTAAATTAAATATGGCCTGAATATCATAAAAAATTATCTAATTACGAAGAATTTTCTATTTAAATCAGGTAAATTCTCACCTGTAAATTGCTCAATTTGACATATAAATGCTAACACAACGTATCAAAGGTATTGGACAAATATTTTCCTAATCGAAGTACCCTCAAGTTAAATAAATAATCACCTTTTTTTTTTTTTTTTTTTTTTTTTTTTTTCCCCCCCCCCCCCCCCCACCAGTTTATCTTGAGGTGTATATGTTAACCTGTTTCAGATTAGACTTGTATATAGCTAGGCTCATCCTATATGTGATGTTGTTAAAAAAAGGTTAAACCCTAACCTTAAGGGTCCCCCACCACCCCTGCTCTGGAGCATCGTGAGAGAGGTAAATCACAGGTTATGCCTCTCAGGGTATAGGGTGGAAGGCTGCTTGTACACTTGCACTTACCCAAAACCCAAATCCATATTTTAGGATTCGAACCCTTGACGCAGCAGTCTCAAGTAAAGCTGAATTTCTCCACCCTCCCCTTTTACCACTTGGAGATGTGCCCTGAGGGCCTATATGTGATGCTGTTATATGTGATGTTGTTATATCATATGGATGCGACATATGAAAAAAAAAAAGGATAAATTATTTTATATCTCTAATTACATCTAAGTCAAGTGAATGGCCCCATCTTTTTTGTTTTTGCACTGATAATTGTGACACTAAAGTCCATGAAACAAACGTTAGCAGCAGATAAAGAGTAGTTGCAAGAATTTATTATAAAGATGGAAAATCTAGCAATATCTTTTACTTCTTTTTTTCTAAGCCAATAATTTTCCTTAAGATAACAAGAAAAGCAAATTTGTCTTTTGATTGATATTTTGAATGAAACCTTACAATCAGAGAAACCAAAAAAATAAAAATAAAAATAAAAATAAAAATAAATAAATAAAATAAAATAATGAAAGGTCAGGAACAGCACAGTCGATAAATAAAAGCAAATGGTTCAAGGTTTGGTGACAAAACTCCAAATTGTTCAAATAAAGTGGAAGGATGAAAAGTAAATATGGTACATTCTTTTTATAAATAACAGGAAGAGAAATACATGTTTAATGCTGATATTACATATGTCTATAATGACTACAAAAGGCTGGAAGATGATGAAATACCAAATGCTTGACGGTCGATTATTGACATTTCGTGTTCTTGACTTACCAAGTTTCTAATGTCTTGATTTATATTCCGTCACTTGGTATAAATGACTAGATCATTTGATCTTAGTAATATTTTGCTTTGAATGCCCGGGTATGCCTTGAGTAGTTGTACTCAATTTTGATCAATATAAACTTAGTTACCCGATAAAAAGAAAATATTCTAAAAACATAATAATATACTCTCTTATTAGTTTACTCAGGCAGCAAGCATTTTCAGTGAATCAATCTCTTCCTTCTTTTCGAATTCGTTGAAGGAAGAGTTGGGATGCCCTGCTCATAGCTGAAGAAACTATTGGGATCAACTTAGTCTTTATTCTTACTAATCTGTTGAAATTGTCCTTCAAATATCTGGTGGCCAACAAACTTTCTTCTGTAAAACTTGTACCATTTTTGTTCATACCCAAATCGAGATCCCTGTAAGTGACATAGGCTTCTTTTGGCGACATGGAAGCATATGGAGCTATGTGATATAGTGCAGATTCAATCCAGGAGAGTTCTCTGCAATATTTGTGTTCTAATTTTAGTTGTTGGAAATGCCTTTTCATTATTGGTGTAATGACCAGGTTCAATAATATATCAGATTATTTTACCAAACAACAATTATTGTAAAGCAAGAAATTATATAAAAACAAAAAAAGAAGAAGAAGAAGAAAAGAACACGATGATTTTTTGTCCTAAAGCAAGACGTTCAAAGTAAAGCTCATTTCCTCTTTGATATTCCATTACCTGGAGAAATCATTGCGCTAGAATAGAAACTAGATCGTCCAAGATTAGTACTTTACAAATCAAATACAAAATCATTTAAGATTACAGATTCGTCTCCATCAATGTTATTGCACTCAAGAACATAACACACCATTTTTGCATTAGAGTTACAATGTTCATCACTCAAGAAGAATAAAATCTAGAAGATGAAGACGAAGATGAAGAATCTTCAAAGTCGAAAATGATGAAAGGAAAGAGATTTCAAAACCCTAGAAGCCGAATGAAGTAATGACCAATACGCGCAGCCACATGAATATACACTTGATTCTAAAAATTAATAAAAAGGTGCATCAAACGAAAGCCGCCAGGAGGTCATCACATCCAATGGTGTAAGAGACTAAGAGGTGACACTTGGTAGCATATCATGCTTCCTCTCAACTAATAAAAACTTGTTTCCAAAACGTGACTTAAAATGGATTGCAACTTAATTTAGTTATGAAATACGATTTTATCCAATTCAAATCATTCTACAATTCAAAGTCAGTAAACGATCAGTCATTTTTTAGTTAAATCAAATATGAGTTCAATAAGATAAGAAATTATCTAATTACGTAGAATTTACTATTTAAATCAGGTATGAAAAGTCACACAAGAGATGAATGGAAAGAGATTTCAAAACCATAGAAGCCAAATGAAGTAATGATCAATACAGACAGCCACAAGAATATACACTTGATTCTAAAAATTAATAAAAAGGTGCGTCAAACAGAAGCCGCTAGAAGGTCATCACATCCAATGGTCTTGTTTCCAGAACGTGACTTAAAATGGATTGCAACTTAATTTAATTATGAAATACGATTTTATCCAGTTCAAATCATTTTACAATTCAAAGTCAGTAAACGATCAGTCATTTTTTAGTTAAATCAAATGTGGGTTCAATAAGATAAGAAATTATCTAATTACGTAAAATTTACTATTTAAATCAGGTATGTTCTCACTAGTAAATTGCTCAATTAGACAAAGAAATGCTAACATAAGATATCAAAGCTTGGACAAATATTTTCATAATCAAAGCTTTAGACATGACTTAATTTACATAGATGATGTCTTATCCATGTGGCTTTAACACATCAAAAATAGAAGTTATTTCATACCTCTAATTATGTCTAATTCATGTGAATGGCCCCTCCGTTTTTGTTTATGCATTGCTCGTGACACCAACGTCCAAGAAACAAACGTTAGCTGGAGATTAACAGAAGTTTGAATGATTGTTTACAAGGGCGGACCCTGACCTTTAGTATTGTGGGGTCAAAATTTTAAAAATAATTTTTTTAATAAACAACATAATATCAATGAAAATAAGTTTATATGTATCTTGATACTTTGAAAACGTCGTATAATTACATCATTATTAATATTATTAAATAAATTTTGCTACTTGTATAGTTTTATTTATTATTTTATTGGCAAATGCTGATCTAACATTGAGTAAATTAAATTGAATATAGAAATTAAATGAATTGAAATAAAATTAAAGTTTAGTTTAGGAAGTAAATGAAATTCAAATTTCAAGCAAATATAATTAGAAAGTAATTCAAATTGCATTTAATCCGTAACGACTCTAAAAAATTTACTTCATATTTCATGTAAGACTTTCGAATGAAACGATATAAATTAATTGAAAAATTTATCATGCAAAAATAATAATTAATTGAATTTTTTAAAAGAAAAAACGAGTTAGACGTCTTTTTTTAGGCGTACGTTTGATACATATTTAACTATTTTCGATATCCGTTTGGACTATTTGATATGAAAACTATGTATTTTTCGAAACAAACTTTTACATGGTCTAGACGATTTGTGGATTTAAATAGCACATGATCGCAAACGAATTATTAAAATTAGGATATTATCGAAATTATCAAAATACTAGTTTCAAACGCCCTACTTTAACATGTCATAACTTTTGTTATAGTTGACCACTTCGCATGCCATTAAAGAGTGAAAAATTAGGCCATGTGCACTTCAAAATGGTATTAAGAATGAAATATTTTGACTTCATTTGACATCCCGATAAATGCATCAAAGTAGATTGTAAAAAAGCAAAAAACGGGGGGGGGGGGGGGGGAAATTTTGTGGGGTCAACCCCACGTGACCACATGTGAGTTCGCCCCTGATTGTTTATCGTGAAGATGGAAAATCTAGTAATATCTTATACTTTTGTTCAATAACTTTTATTTTTCGAAGTCTGTGCTTTCACTAAGATAACAAGAAAGCAAATTCTCTTTTTTACTCCACCTTGATGGACATTTTGAATGAGCCCCAAAAAAAAAAAAAAAAAAAAAAAAAAAAAAAAAAAAAATAAAAAAAAAATAAAATTAAAAGGTCACGAACAGCACAGTCAAGAAATAAAATTGGGATAAAAGTGTAAATGGACAAAAACTCCAAATTTGCCAAAGAAAATGGAAGGATGAAAAGTAAAGATGAGCACATTATTTAAGATGAGTACATTCTTTTTATAAATAAGAGGAAAAGACATACATAATAGACACTGATACTGTAGATGTCTACAATGATTAAAAGCTGCTGGAAGATGATGAAATACCAATGCTTATAACAGGGAGGAATTCTAAAAACAAACTGATATACTGTCTTATTAGTTGTTATGGAGGTAGCAAGTGTTTCCAGTGAGTCAATCTCTTCCCTGTTTTCGAATTCGTCAAAGAGTTGGGATGCTCTGTTCATGTCTGAAGAAATTATCAGGATCAACCTTAGTCTTTATATTTACTAGTCTGTTGAAATTGTCCTTGAAATAGCTGGTGCCCCACAAACTTGCTTCTTCTAGACTTGTACCATTTTTGTTTGAACCCAAATCAAGATCCCTGTAATTAACATAGGATTCTCTTGGTGACATGGAAGCATATGGAGCCATGTAATTGTACAGTTTTCTTACCCAATCCATGTGCTTCGTGGTGGATTCTGGTTTAGCGTCGTTCCAACTGGTAACGTATTGTATCATAAATATGACACCTTTTCTGTGAGGGAATGGAATTTCAGATTCTGAAATGTTACTCATCATGCCACCATAAGGAGTCCATAGCATCAACGGCGATTCCTCTTCAAGAAAACTTTTCCATAGTCCTTCTAATCCAGTCTCTGGGATTGGTTCTTTTATGAAGTCTGATTTGGCTTTGAAGTAGTTCTTGAATAAGGCCTTCCCTTGAAGCAAAACCTCAGGTGGTGTATTCGGTGGGTAACCACCAATATACATCACTGATTGGATCCAGCTCATTTCAGTGCTGTCCTTTTGTGTCAATCCCAACTCGGGGAAACATTCGGCCATTATTCCAAGCAATCTATCGGCTCTGCCAAGAAATAAACCTTGGTACAAATTTTGTACTGTCTGCTCGCCCTTTTGAGCACCATTTGCTTTTGTAATGATGACTCTGATGAACAGATCCTCATCAAGTTTATCAACCACTTGTTGCCATCTGTAGAGAATCTTTGTAGCACCTTGTTCCAAGGTTTTTGGAACAGTGAAAACAGTGACAGTTTCTGGAACAGGGACTAATCGGACTTTCCAAGCGAGTATGATTCCAAAACTAGCTCCACCACCACCTCTAATAGCCCAGAAAAGATCTTCTCCCATTGATTTCCGATCAAGAATTTTGCCGCTTGCATCAACTATTCGCGCATCGACAACATTGTCAGCTCCGATGCCATATTTCCTCATCATGGAACCATATGCTCCTCCTGTTATGTGCCCTCCAACTCCTAAGCTGGGGCAAAGTCCTGCGGGGAATCCATGAATTTTACTTTTCTGTGAAATTTTGTAATAAAACTCACCAATAGTAGCACCAACTTGCACCCACGCGCTGTTGTCCTGTATGTCTACATCGACACTCCGGAGTTTCGATAGGTCTACAAGGAGAAAAGGTTGTTCCGTTTGTGACGCGTACGAGAGGCCCTCATAATCATGGCCTCCACTTCGGAATCTAAGTTGAATTCCGACCTGTTTTGTGCATTGAACAGCTGCCTGAACATGATTTTCAGTTAATGGGGTGAAGATCATCTGAGGTTTCGGCACAGAAGGCGTCAAATACCTTAAATTCATCGCAGAAGACTCCAGGATGGAACTATATGAAGCATTGCCAGGGGCAAAGAAAGCTTTTGAAAACGGGATAGGAAGTTTGGAATTGACAGAAATGCACGTATAGAATTTTTCTTGAATTGATTGTGAAGTAGCAGCCCATAAATTTGATACTAGAATCAAGAATAATGTAACAATGAGTGAATTTGAGGATCCCATAATGAGAATGATACTAAACTGATTTTTCTTTGCTTTTGCGTTGAGGTGTGAGACAGACAGTGAGTCCTTTTTATGGGATTTTGTGGTCTCTTGCTGACTCTATATATGACCTAATGCCAACGTAATGTTCAAGAAAGATTTGTTAGCCACATTGGAATAATGAGGTCAAGAAAATCTGCTTTAAGAAGTTCCAAGTTCCGTCCATTTTGACTCCATAATTTTCCGATTTATGCACTCGTTTCTTGCCTTCCCA